GCTGGCTTTCCCGATTCGTGCCTCCCTTCTGGGCGCGTACAGTACCATGATTCACCCAGCGGTGGCCACTTCGGCCTCGACAAAATGCACGCTGCGTTGTCCACTTTGTATTGGAGGCCTCGCCAATAGACCTCTAGCTCAACGATCCACAATTTGATTGGTGTGAGAGATGACAGGGACATCAATATATATAGTTCGATTATTCCATTTCACTGGTCAGTCATGCACGAATAGACGAAAGATTGATTATTGGGCAGTACTGTACTACGGCACGAATGATTGGATCATTCCTTTTGATGTTCATCGTACCCGAACCAGTCAATGATATCGGAACATCATGACTCCTTTCCAAATACATCGAAATCAATCCTTAAGCATTGGTCAATCAGACAAATGGTCCGCAGATCCTCCAAAGCAACAATAACAAAACCTACGCCAACCAAGCCATCCGCTGCGTCGCAAACACCATCCACGCCAACAACCCGGGACATAAGTCAAGGGGCGGCGCTGCTCAACAACCTCGAGCAGCAGCGAAAAGACAAGAGGTCTCGCTACTCAACTGTCCTCCCCGAAGAACCCGACAATGACGCCTACTCGACGTCCCCCTTCTTCGACAGCTTTGAGTCCACTCAGGGGCCCGAAGGAATTCACACGATGTCGAACTTCACACCATCCGAATTCAACTTGCTTGCAACCAGCATGCACTTGATCATGCAAACTATGGTGCACTTCATCTATAATCTTCCAACATTTCACTAACACTTTAAATTAGCTTGAGCCTATTATTACTTTAAACTTCCAAACTACAGACGTAATATCGATAGAACTCACAGTCCGCGAGGGCATCGACGACCCCAGCAGAGGTTTGATAGGAAAGAATTGGTCGATTTTCATGATTTTAGGTGCATCTGATTGGTCTATGCTTGCTGAATATGCATATACCACCAGCAGACTCTGAAACACAATTCCTTTCACAAAATGATGGATAAACTGTGGGATTTAACATAAAATGCACGTATGAATCTTGATAACTTGTGAAACACAATAAATACTACACTGGGAGAGGTACGAATTTATTTATAAAATTGCTTGACAGTCAAACCTTTATAACTCAATACCTCGTTTGCTCAAAATAGCTGAATAATTGCATCAAAATTCGCTCCATTTGATCTATTTCACTCAATTCTTATCCGATTGTCGTGAAATAAGTGCCAAAATGAGGCATTGATTG